ACCAGCACCCACGTGTACCACTTTTTTAATCGGGAGGGAAATCTTCTATGTGGAGGCCCCTGTAAGGAGCAAGGGGTCCCAGTCCCACACCAGACACCCAGCCCAGGATCTCAGCACTAGGAAAAGAAGTACCCATAACTATGGGCTGTAAAAACCAGCAGGGATTGTGGCTAAGTGACACAGAGGATGCTGGAGACCCATCTGTTCCTCTTAAAGGGCTGGCACATGAACTAACTAACAAGGTCCTGCTTCCTCTGAGCTCCAGCAACAGGGCGAGGCTCTGGGGGACACAGACACATACGAGGAGAGACTGCAAAGTCTGGCATTGGGGCAGAAACTCAGGGGCAGTTTTCTCCCTGAAAGACATGCTTGCAGGGGTCATTGTTCCCATGCTGGGAACTCCCAGGTCGCAGGGCTGGTTGGCAGCCATTTCTGTTTGCTCCACCCGGGTGATTCCCTGAGACCCCGACCCATCCAATTTGCAGCCCCACCCAACCTGTATGCAGCAGCTTTTGCATATAAATGGCCTGTCCTTGCCCAGGCTTCACACTTTACTAAACTCTCTCAAACAAACTACAGCTGGGCCAGGAGCCCCAAATCTATCAATAAAAGGCTCAAGACCTGGCACTAGCACCAGCCTGCATTGCTTCACAGCTTGGCCTCCCCTGGGGACTTACAACCACGATATAAATAGGAGGAATCTACAGATCTGTCTGTAGCTCCTGCCATATAGCCCCAGGCAGTGGCTAACTTTGCACAGCCCTAGAGACTCAAGAACCAGTGCACCCAGTGGTCAGTGTCAGGCCATACCAGATTATAACAATACACATCCACAAGCAACACATTCAAGGGGCAGACTCAGTGAGCCCCAAAGCCCCACTGAAACAAGTCCTGCTCCATAGGAGTATCTCCTGCACAGAAGTTCTTCCACTGAAATCGCAGTTGGTCCTCACAGCCAATTGGCTGGGAGGTCAATTCCTCCCAGTGATGCCAACAGCAATCAAATCTCAACTATAAGACTGTGCACAGAGCCCACAGAGGGAAACGGGTGAGGGGACGGGAAGAGATTAACCAAAGATCTTATATGCATATATGCATTACCCATGGACAGAAACAATAGGGTGGCAAAGGCCTGGGGTGGGGCGGGAACCGGGTGGTGGGGGAACATGGGGAAAAAAAGAGGGACATCTGTAATACTCTCAACAATAAAGATTAAAGAAAAAAAGAAAATCTGGGAAGAGATCAGCAATCTGTGTTTAAACAAGCTTTTCAGATGTTTCTGATGCATGCTAAAGTTTTAGAACTACTGATTTTTTTTAGAATCATCAAAAAGTGATGGTCTAATCCCATCACTCCTTTTACATTACTGGAATTCTTCTTTACAAAAGTTATCCTCATCAACAATTTGGTTACTCTGAAAAAGTTTTACAGAAAAGGTAAGATAAATGCTAATTTCTTTTTATTGATCAACTAGAGGCCCGATGCACGAAATTCGTGCAAAAGTAGGCCTTCCTTCCCCTGGCTGCCAGCACCAGCTTCCCTCTGGCACCCGGGACCCGGGCTTCCCTCCAGCCACTGGCAGGCACCAGGACCTGGGCTTCCCTTGCAGCCCTGGCTTCGTCCAGAAGGTCGTCCGGAAGGACGTCTAGTCTAATTAGCATATTACACTTTTATTATTATAGATTTTCAAAGTAATGACCGAGAACCACATCAATCTTTAATTGTTGACCAATAAGTTTTAGAGGAAGGGTTTTGGGGCAAGTGTTTATATACCTGACATGTCTTAATCCTTTTAGTCATAATTCTTCTTTTTAAAAAATGTTTTTAAAAATTGATTTTAGAGAGAGAAGAAGGGAGAGAGAAAGAAAGAACAACACTGATGTGACAGAAAAATATTAATAAGTTGCCTCCTGCACATGGCCCAATCGGGAATCAAACCTGCAAACCCAGATATGTGCCCTGACCGGGAATCCATCTCACCACTTTTTTGTATGGGAGGACACTCTAACCAACTGAGCCACCTGGCCAGGGCAGTCATAATTCTTTTGAATGCTCAAACTTTCCCATCTTAGGTTGGAGTGAACCCCTTCAAGTTGACTTCTATGATCCTTTAACAAAACTCTATTAGTCTTTTATAGCTTCCTTGCTTTCAGGCACTAGATGTCTCTAGCTCAACTTGCAAATTTTCTGTCCTAGACCTGGAGTAAGCCACTTCTCTAAGAGACAGGTCATTTTAGTGAAGAATGGTGTTTAGAGATTACAATCTGTGATGCAGAGGTATTCTCTGCCGCTAGGTTATCACTATTTCTAGACCTTTTCAGTGGACAGAACTAGGAAGTACAAGTGATTTTATGAAAAAAAATCATGAATAAAATTAATTTTTTTAAAAATCACGAATTCATATTGACAAATGCTGTTATGTTGGAAATCTTGGTTCCTTAATAACACTGTTTTATCCTATAATACATTTAAAATGATAATATCAACTTTGTGTTAATAAAAATATTAAATGCATTTAAGAATTTTTCAGGTCATCATTTAGTTATGCTACCCACGTAACATAAAGCAAGGTTCACTTGTTTCCATTTTATTATTTTTCTTAAATTTAAAAGAATACCATGGTCCAAAGTCAAAACTATATATACACCAAAGTTCATTCATAGACCTATCCCTTGAGTCCTGTAATTCTCTTTCCACCTATAGATAATCACTTTGGTTCATTTTTGGTTTGCCTATTCATTGTTCCTTCTTGAGAAAAATACATCTATACCTATTTTAGTTGTATACTATATAGATACTATAGAGGCCCAGTGCATGAAATTCGTGCACTGGAGGGGGATGGGGGATCCCTCAGCCCAGCCTGCGCCCTCTTGCAGTCCAGGACCCCTTGCTCCTTACTGCCGCCTGCTCGATGCTCCTTACTACTCGGCTCACTGCTCCTCAGTGCTGCCACAGAGGCAGGAGAGGGTCCCATCACCACCGCTGCGCTTGCCAGCCGTCAGCCTGGCTTCTGGCACTGACCACCAGGGGCAGCTCCTGCGCTGAGCATCTGCCCCCTGGTGGTCAATGCGCATCATAGTGACCGATCATTCTGGTTGTTCCACCATAAAGGTCACTTAGGCTTTTATTATATACACTAGAGGCCCGGTGCATGAAATTCATGCACTGGGGATGGGTGGGGGGTCCCTTAGCCCAGCATGTGCCCTCTTGCAGTCCGGGACCCCTCCCTTGTTACTGCCCACCTGCTTGCTGCTTCCTACCGCTTGGCTTGCTGCTCCTTAGTGCTGCCACGAAGGCCTTGGGTCTGCTGGGTGCCGGGCCTGCGGGTTTGTGTCTCTGATACCCCCAGCAGCCCCAGCACCAAGGTGGCAGGCCTTGGGGCTGCTGGGTACAGGCCCCCCGTTGCGTGTTTGTGTCTTCTATCAGGCCCCCAGCAGCCCCAGCACCACCTAAATAACTTAAGGGAAACTTTATTTAGTCTTCTTTTAAAAGCAATCTAGTTTAAAAATGAGTTGCAGTTAAGACAGAACAAAGAACATGGTACCTAAGAGTGAGATAGACTGACAGAGGAGAGGCTGGGCACTGGTCAGGGGCTTACATGCCAACTGATCTACACCTGGGAAATGATGTAAAATCGGTTTCTTTAGTTTTCTGCTTAATGGTCTTCTCCAGCACTGAGGTCAGAGGAGCCGCCTTCCAGCCCGTAGGCTGCTTCTCAGAGTCGAAAATTTCGCCATAGGCCTCTGCCTAGGACAGGACCTCTGAACCCCCAGGGTGCATAAACACACAGGGCTTCCATCAGGCTCTGCTGATCCCAGGCAGGAGGCCTCTCGGCTCCGCTGATCCCTGGGCCCGGGAGGCCTCGCGGCTCCGCTGATCCCGGGGCCGGGAGGCCTCTCAGCTCCACTGATCCCTGGGCCGGGAGGCTTCTCGGCTCCGCTGATCCCGGGGCCCTGAGGCCTCTCAGCTCCGCTGATCCTGGGGTGGGGAGGCCTCTCGGCTCTGCTGATCCCCGGGCAGTGAGGCCTCTCTGCTCTGCGGCTTCAGGGCTGTTTGGCTTCGCTCTACCGCTTGGAGCCTGAGTATGCAGATTAACCGCCATCTTTTAGCTTCTATAATTGAAACATTGTATCTTTTGGAGCTGTTGCTTCAGGAGCTCAGAGCCCCGCAGCTGCAGGCGGGAACCTTGGTTTCCTCTATCGCTGGGGCAACCAAGCATCCTGTTCTCAGCTGCCTGGCTGCCTGCCGCCATCTTGGCTGACAGTTAATTTGCATATACTCACTGATTAGCCAATGAAAAGGGTAGCGGTCATACACTAATTACCATGTTTCTCTTTTATTAGTGTAGATATTCATTCTTTCCTTCCTTTATTATACCTTCTTCATTCTGTGATTTCATGAAAATTATAAGCAGTGTTTTTTGTAAGTTTTTCCTCATTCTCTAAGACAAAATTCTTCAAAGGTAGTGGTTGATCTCAATTACACTATTGTCTACACCAGTGGTTCTCAACCTTCCTAATGCCGCGACCCTTTAATACAGTTCCTCATGTTGTGGTGACTCCCAACCATAAAATTATTTTCGTTGCTACTTCATAACTGTAATTTTGCTACTGTTATGAATCGTAATGTAAATATCTGATATGCAGGATGTATTTTCATTGTTACAAATTGAACATAATTAAAGCATAGTGATGAATCACAAAAACAATATGTAATTACATATGTGTTTTCCGATGGTCTTAGGCGAACCCAAAGGGGTCACAACCCACAGGTTGAGAACCGCTGGTCTACACCTTTTCTTTTAAACATGCTTAAGCTATTATTTTCAAATCTAAAGATCATTTTTCTTGATAGAATACATGCATTCTTTCCAACTTCTGTTAATATAATACAATGTGCCACAAGAAACTAGCCGTTTTTTCTCCTTCTCAGAATATAACAACAACAAAAATAATTTAGAGTGTATTACATAGTTCCAGCTAACATCATTCAAACCATACCTTGGAAGCACTGTACTCTCTGTAAAATGTGGTGGTCCATTCACCATGTACAGTCCTTCTGATCCTCGGACTAAAGAAATAAAATGAAAAGAATCACCATGACTTTGTTAATAAATAGTTACCACAAATGTCTTAAGAAACAAAAAGCTTTCCGTCAAAATATTAATAAAATTATGAAACATTTCTTAGACTTATAGAATGTTAGTGTGAAAAGGGCACAATTTTCTTACCCTATTGCATGAAATCATATAACTGCTGAGAATAAATAGGTAATGCAATAGATTGAATGTTTGTGTTCACCCCAAATCCTCAAGCTGACACCCTAATCCCAAGGTGATATTTGAAGGTGGGGTCTTTGGGAGGTAGTTAGATCACAAGGGCAGAGCTCTCATAGATGGGATGGATTAGTGCTCTTGTAAGAAGAGCCTAGAGAGCTAGCTAGCTCTCTGCCATGTCAGGACACAATAAGTAGTTGGTAGTCTACAACCTGGAGTAGGGCCCTCACTAGAACCCAACCATGCTGGCACCCTGATCTCAGACTTCCAACCTCTAGAACTGTGAGAAATAAATTTGTTGTTTATAAGGTACTCAATTTGTTATAGCAGTCCAAAATAAGACAGGTAATACCCCTCATTTCTTTTCCTATAAAGCATATTCATTTAGTCTCTAAGGAGATTACTTCAATAAATCCACTTTTACTATTTTATAAGAAATACTAGAGGCCCGGTGCACGAAATTTGTGTAAGGGCGGTCCCTCAGCCTGGCCTGCACCCTCTCCAATTCGGGACCCCCCCCAAGGGATGTCCGACTGCCTCTCACAATCCAGGACCGCTGGCTCCTAACTGCTCGCCTGCTTACCTGCCTGATCGCCCCTAACCCCTCTGCCTGCCTGCCTGATTGATCTTAACCACCTCTGCCCGCCTGATCGCCCCTAACTGTTCCCCTACCGGCCTGATCGCCCCTAACTGCTCCCCTGCTGGCCTGATCGCCCCTAACCGCCGCTGCATCGCCCAGCACCCGGGCTTCCCTCCCTCTGGCTGTTCGCAGGCACCTGGGATCCGGGCTTCTCTCCAGGCACCCAGGACCCGGGCCAGCTTCACCTGGGCCGGCCACAGCCGCAGGGGACCGTGGGCAGGCAGTTTTGCCTGGGCCCCAGCTGCAGGCGCCTGGGACCGCAGGGCGGGCAGCTTGTCTCTCTCCGGGACGCAGGCACAGGCGCAGCCGCTGGTGCCCGGGACCGTGGGGTGGGCGGCTTGTCCCTCTCCCGGGCCACAGGCTGGCTGGTCCCCATTCCTCTCTCATGAGCTCATTTCTGCCTGGCTGGTCCCTACTACTCTCTCCCCAGCTCATTTGTGCCTGGCTGGTCCCCATTCCTCTCTCCCCAGTGTTGAGTGTCTGAGCAGTTCTAGCGCGAGGGCATGCGGGCGTGACAACCATTTGCATATTAGCTCTTTATTATATAGGATATGCAAGTACACTGAGATACAACATTCATACTTGTATTCCTTCATTCAAATGAAAAAAGTGATTTTAGTGTTATATTTTCACATTTCTAAAAATATTTATTTATTGATTTTTAGAGAGAGAGAGAGAGGGAGAGAGAAACATCAATTTGTTGTTACACTTATTTATGAATTTATTGGTTGCTTCTTGTGTGTGCCCTGACCAGGAATCAAGCCTGCAACCTCCGCATATTAGGATGATGGCTCTAACCAACTGAGTTACCTGGCCAGAGCTATTTTTACATATTTAATCTCATTTTCAGAATGTGTTGATGTTGGAAACAGAATTAGAAGCTGAGTCTAAGTTCAATTTTTCTTTGTATCAGCTTAATTTTTCAAGTAACTTTTACAAATAACAACTCAAAATCTTAACTGTTATTCGTGAAAATGTAATTCTGCTATAACAGAAAGAACCTGAACTCAAAGGCAGACTTTTGTTTCTATCTGGCTGTGAATCCCTGGCTATATCACCTCTAAATCTGTTCCCTAATCTGTAAAAATGAAAACATTAGAACAGAGGGTGGCTGTGTGCTTTATATAAACTAGAGGCCCAGTGCACCGATCGGGGCCAGGCCAGCTGGAGGGAGGGGCTGCAGGAGGTTGACCGGCCACAGTGCGTGTTACAGTGACCGGTTGTTCCAGTCACTTGGCTTTTATATCCTATATAATAAAAGCCTAGGTGGCGTCATGCCCTCACGCAATGCCTCGCGCAACACTGCCACAAGATGGCTGCCCACACAGTGGAGGCGGGGCCCAGTGGCCGCTCCGCGTGGTGAGGCCTGGGGGTCCCGCGGCTCTGCACGGCATGGAGGCCAGTCCCAGCGTCTCCACCGCCTCACGCATAGGAGGCAGGTCCCCGCAGAGGAGGCGGGTCGTGGAAGGGGAGGGCAGTTGTGGGTGATCAGGCCAGCAGAGGAGGGCAGTTGTGGGCAATCAGGCTGGCAGGGGAGGGCAGTTGGGGGCGATCAGGCTGGCAGGGGAGAGGATAGAGGACAATCAGGCTGGCAGGCAGAAGCAGTTAGAGGTAATCAGGCAGGCGAGTGGCTAGGAGCCAGCGGTGCCGGATTGTGAGAAAGATGTCCCTGCGGGATTGGGCCTAAACTGGCAGTCAGACATCCCCCGAGAGGTCCCAGATTGGAGAGGGTGCAGGCCAGGCTAAGGGACACACACACACACACACACACACACACACACACACGAATTTCGTGCACTGGGCCTCTAGTATATAGATGATGACATCAAAATACAGTATATATTCAAAGCTCTTAAAAATGTAAGGCATGCCCGGGCAGCATGGCTCAGTGGTTGAATGTCAACCTATGAACTAGGTCACAGTTTGATTCCTGGTCAGGGCACGTGCCTAGCTTGCAGGCTCCATCCCAGTGTGGGATGTGTGGGAGGTAGCCAATCAATGATTCTCTCTCATTATTGATCTTTCTAGCTCTCTCTCCCTCTTCCTTCCTCTCTGAAATCAATAAAAATGTAAGGCATTATTAATATATTTATACTTTCTCAAACTAAGAAAGCAAGTGGGATTAGACACATTCATTTACGAAGTCCCCAATGATAGTAATGTCCTAAAATATTGTGTGAACAAAATTCAAGATTTAATAAGCATAAACATCTATAGAACTAGATTATACTTTTGAAAACAGCTGAATTAGAAGCTTCTAAAGCTGAACCAACTAAATTCATTCAATATTCAACAAATGCTTATTGGGGGAAAACAACAACAGGAACAAAAAACTACCTCTCAGAGCCTATGTTGAAATACTGGAAAGGTACAACAGGGAGAAAAATCAGCCTTGTCCCTGACCTCATTAATCAAATAATTAGTCGAATATATGGAATTCTATTACTGTTTAGTGCTACAAAGGAAAGATATAAGGGACTAATAGAGTGAATAATAAAGTTTTTTAAATGGAAGGTTATGGAACATGTCCTTGATTAAGTAATTTGTGTGCTGACATCTGAAGGCTGAATACCAGTTAACAAGCAAAGAGAACAGGAACAAGTGCAAAAACTCCATGACCAAACATCAGAGGAAGGGAAAGAAGGCATGTGTGGCTAGAAGGAGATGGAGTTGGGGAATAAAACAGGGCTCAGACCAAGCAGAATTTTGTGGCCTAAGTTTGGCAGTACTGGTCTCTCACCGTAGCCTAAGAATGGTGGGAGACTTTAAGAGGATTTTAAGATTTTAAAAACCAGATTTGCATTTTGAAAAGGTCGGTTTAGAGAATAAACTAGAAAGGAGTAAAAGTGGATGTGAAGAGACTAATCAAGGCGGTTCTACAGTAGCCCCACAGGAGAGATTAAGAAAACTTGGGGTGGGGCAGTGGAAATGGAAGGCAGAGAATGAGTGTTCAATATGTAAAATATAAAACTAACAGGACTTATCCTAGAGATTTACTATTTTATGAGCTAGAGTTACTATTTTATGAGCTAGAATTCAGCAACAGCATAAGAGCTGAAAAGAAGAAAAGTTTTACTGAGGTCCATGGCCACAATTACAGCTGCTTCCTTTTCTGCCAGCTATTCACAAATCTTCCACTCTTCTCTTGGTTACTGGTAGAGAGGGGGCACTCCTGGCTCCAACTTTAATCCATATTTCCTTTTCCTTCTCCATGGACAGTTCTCAGATCACTAATATTCTATCTGAGAATTAATTAACTCAATTTTTAGCTATCAAAAGTAATATAATTTTCACTCCCAAAGAAAATAATTTAAAGTTAGAATGAAAGTAAAAGACTTGCCCGGCCAGTGTGGCTCAGTGGTTGAGTGTCGATCTATGAACCAGGAGGTCATGGTTTGATTCCCAGTCTGAGCCCATGCCTGGGTTGCAGGCTCATTCCCCAGTGTGGGGTGTACAGGAGGCAGCTGATCAATGTTTCTCTTCATCATTGATGTTTCAATCTCTCCCTCCCTCTCCCTTCCTCTCTGAAATCCATAAAGAAATACATTTAAAATATAAAAAAAGCCCTAGCCGGTTTGGCTCAGTGGATAGAGCATTGGCCTGCAGACTGAAGGGTCCTAGGTTCAATTCCGGCCAAGGGCACATGCCTGGATTGTGGGCTCGGTCCCCAGTAGGGGGCGTGCAGGAGGCAGCTGATCATTGATGTTTCTATCTCTCTATCCTTCTCCCTTCCTCTCTGAAATCAATAAAAACATTTTAAAAAGTAAAAAAAAACCCTAGCCGGTTTGGCTCAGTGGCCTGTAGCATGAAGGGTCCCACGTTCGATTCCAGTCAAGGGTATGTACCTCGGTTGCAGGCTTGATCCCCGGATCTGGTTGGAGCACATTCAAGAGGCAATGAATGGATATGAGGTGTCTCTCTCGTGTCATGTTTCTCTCTGTCTCTCCCCCTCCTCTCCACTCTCTCTAAAAATCAATGGAAAAATATCCTCGGGTGAGGATTAACAAAAAAATAATAAAAATTAAAACTATGAAGTTCAATTCTTTAGCATGAAAATTCTTTTTTCTTTCTTTCTTTCTTTTTAGAATGTCAGGCCACAAACCATTCTCAGTGCCAACGGTTCTGAGCACTGAGCGTAGAAATAGCCACTTCCTC